TTTTTTTTTAAAACTATTATTGTAAATCAACATAAAGATATAATCAAAGAAAACGTACATCTGAATGAAAAGGATAAACAACAGATGTGACTTACAAGGTCTCATTTTAATGTATAGAATACAGCGAGAAACGTAAGAAAAATACTTTTGAAAGCGCTCTTAAAGATTGAAGAAGAAGAAAAAAAAGGAAAAGAAACGCAGCAGCTGTTTGCAGTACTCGTCAGATCGTTTTTCTTTGATATCTATTTTTTTATTTGCGGTAAGACAAATAATCGATGACGATAATATTCATTCGCATTCTACTAAACTTAAATATAGTCATATGACAAGAAATGATGAGGTAAGCAAATTCGATTAAAAATTAAATTTACTTTGAAAAAAAAAACTTTTAAATTAGACGCCAACATCTTTAATGGATACTAGTACAAGTTTTGCTCAAGAAGGACAAATGCTATCGCCTGATCGACGACGAGTACGTGTTGATTTTGCTTATTCATTTGATAATGATCAATTAGTACCTATGACACAAACAACTATTATTAAAAGTGAACCTTGTTTTAAGGTTACTGCAATTGAAGATGAAGTTACTAAACATTTTTATCATAATAAATCACACAATAAAATAAATCAACGAATACCAAGTGAAGCAGATAGTTTAGATGAAGACTATTCTTACAATTCACATGTAAGTCATTTAAATAGAAAAAATTCTTTTTTTTGTTCATAATTTATTTATTTAGAATGGAAAACAAACAATATATAAAGGTAATAATGCTAAACATCCTGTTTCTGATCGAACAAATTCTTCGTCTATAAAATCTATTCTGAAGAAACCTCAAACGAGACAAGAAGAAAAGAATCAATCACGTCCTTTGTCGCCTTCTTCAAAGGGCAAAGGAACTTCTTCAACAGGTCTTGATTCGAATAGCGTTGAAGATCTTGCTGAAATGACGGCCAGACACAAATTAACATCGCCTTCCATTTATACTCGTTCACTACACAGTCAAACAATGAATATATTTGATCCAAATAATTCTTATGAAATAAGATCAAAGACGCCACGTCCACCTCGTCTTCAATATTATATTAAACCATATAGAGGAGAACCTTCTGGTCCTACAAATAAATCTAAACTACGATCAAGATCACTTTCACGAAATCGACTTGCTCAATCATTACCATTAAGTACTACTCGTCGAAATACTGACCCAAATTCAACTAAATCTATGCATCCATCAACAAGACAATCAAGTAGAAATGTATCTTGGTCACCAGCAAGAGAATATATTCATGAAGAAAAAGACCAGAAAATGGCTACAACAACAACAACAGCAAATAAAAAGTAAACATCTATTTTTATTTTCTATATAATTATAATATTTAATTTAGGAAGGAAATCTTATCTAATAAAATAAATTCTTCTACATTATCAATTGGTCCTTCATTATCATTAAATATTCCTTGTATACCCAATTCTTCATCAATAATATCTATTCCTATTCGTTTTCAAAAATCCCAATCAACTCAATTTCCTGCTCCTTGTTCATCAATAGATTCATATTATTCTCCTACTGCTATTGATCATTCAATGATATCAATAAAACCTATAATACAAAATAATTATAATTATGAAGCAAAAGAAAATATCTTAATATCATCATACTCTTCTAGTACAGTAGGTGAATATAAGAGAGAACATAATACAACAATGCAACGATACGATAAATTATTAGAAAAAATGCGCACTACAGATGAAGAACTTAAATTATTATCTCGATCATGGATGTATACAAATAAACAACATCAAATACCTGTCAGTACTAATGATTTATTTTATCCAGAAGTTTCAGAAACTTATGAAATAGAATTTTTCAATGGTTAATTTCAGGTTAGAGTGAAAAAACGAGAATCAGACTTATTATTGACTAATAAGAATAATAATCAGTTTTTTTCGCCAATGATTCTTCAAATATGTCTCATCATTTTGGTTATTTTCAATTTACTTATTGTTTATTTTTTTAATGATATAAATGATTGGTGGGATGAATATATTACACCCTTACTACTAACTTTTGAACAATCCGATGAAAATAATTTCAATTTTTAATATTATTTATTTTATTTGACATAGAAGTAGGTCTTTAGAAGAAAAAAAACGACTTTATATATATTCTTCTTCATTTTTATGAAATTTTTCGTTTTAGTTTTCTTAATGAATTTATGAAGAAGAATTCTATGTTGTTTTTTTTAATGGTACATACTTCTATTTATTATATTTTTATTAAATATCTAGAGATCCTTGTTGACCTCTACTATTTGTATATATGTTTTTTTTGTTTAATTATAAAGGAAATAAAGTTACTATATTTACTGAATTTTACAATATTTCTTCTCAATTTCTATAATAAAAGCTGTAAATAATAGAATGGAAACATTTAGTATTAACAAAAATCGATTTACTATAAAAGAAAAAGTGTATGTAGATTGTTTTTCACATACATTTGGTGCCCTTTTGAAATTAAGTTATATTTAGTTTTACTAACAAATACCCTAAAAAATAATAAAAGAAATATTATGTTATTATTCACATTTAAAAAACAATTCTATTCCTATAAATAAATTTAGTTAAAGATTCTATTCGGACTTTTTCTTTCATCAGTACAAAAAAGTTAATTATTTTATATGAAAAATTTGAAAGACGTTTCTTTAACCATTTACCCCCTGGCGCGGTTCTAGAAGAGCTACTGATGAAACAACAATTGGAATAGAGTATTGGTGCCTCCAACATGCTAAAAGTATGGGCAGATCGATCAAACACAGACTTGAGTTTTACGGTAGTTTGTTGAGGGGGAGGGGGGGGGTAGGGGATCGACTTGAAAAAAATTTCAGAGATTTTTCGTAATACTCATGTAGTTTCGCAAAAAAACATCTTAGAGAGCTCGGTGACGTCTTATTTTGTAGAGAATTGTTCACTCTATAATATTACATGGTTTAAAAAAACGCTATTATCGGGGTGTGGACGCCGAGAACCTAAGGTGTTGATTTTTTGAAATCTTCGAGTGACCATTGTCTGCTTTAACATATCTTACCTACCTAATGCTTTTTAAATTTTTGAAACTTATATAATCTACTAGTAGACACTTCCCTCGATGTAAATCACACAGCATGCCGCCGAGATATATACTGCTTAGAGGTAGAAAAATGATTTTAAAAAAAATTATTTTTTTCATATTTTTTCGAAATTATCGATTTTAAAAGTCATTTGACTCGGAGACAGAGCAACAAAACAAAATATTCTTTTTGCCAATCGATAGCTTATGGAGTTCCCTACAAATATTGTTGTGGGAGTTTTCGAGTCTCATGCTTCCCTTATTTTCTAAAAATTTTTTTATGAATGGGTCAAAAATGATCCACCAGGGGGTAAAGGGTAACTGATAAATATAAACTTGAATTAGTTTAGAGGATTTTGTTTTTGTTATTTCAATATTTTTTCTGATCTTGCGCAAGAATAAAATATGAATATCATAGTTAAATATAATAAATGCATATTTTTAATC